TGACATGATTTGTCTTCAGTGCCAGGGATGCATTACATTCTTTGCCTTACATTGTTGGTGAAACGTAGACTAACACATCAGAATTCTGTAAATCCAATGGAGACAGAATCTGCCTGTGCTGTTCATGGCTTTTTTCTGTCCTCAGAATAATACCACATGATAGCAGGCAATACATTTTGTTCATTTTGCTAAAAGATGTGGCCTTGTACCTATTTATTCTGAACAATTTCTTGCCCTGATTTTTATGCAAAGCACTGCTATCTCCTTTACAGCAAAGACATCTCATAAGCAGAGTCAGCTCTCAGTGAGAATTCTTCATAGCTTGATTACTTTCCAGTGAACTGTACTCTGACCTTTCTTATTAATGCTGTCCTCCATATGCTTTCCCTAACCTGGACCCAGTGGCTTTTGCTCAGCTATCATTCTTGAGAGTGTCTCCACAGCAGTGTTCTGCTTCTCTTCCTTGCCCCTTGAGGCCTTTTCTCCTTAGCTTCCTGTGCTGATTTGAATATAATGGCTACCATAAGCTCATATATTTGGATACTTGTGCGCCAGTTAGTGGAACTATTTGGGAAGGATTAGGAGACATGGCCTTATTGGAGGACATGGGTCACTGGAAGCAGGCTTTGTTTCAGAAGACCCAAGCCATTTCCAGTGTGCTCTCCGCCCCTGCCTGCAGATGAGATGTGAGCTCTCAGCTGCTGTTCCAGCCACCTGAGGCTATGCATCCACTCCACCATCCTAAACTCTCCCTGGAGTCACAAGCCCAATTAAACTCTTTCTTTTATAAGTAGCTTTGTCATGAATGTTTTAACATAGCAGCAGAAAAGTAACTAAGATGTAGAGGACCAGCCCCCACACTTATTTACCCCAGGAACTCTTGAGGATTGAAGGATAAGAGATTTAGTTAGAAACAGAAAGGATTCAAAAAAGCCAGCTCATGCACTAGGAACCTAGTGCCTATGGTGGGACACTTTGAGTAGCCTTGGTGCAGGAAGAAGGCGCTTGGACCTGCCTCATCTGAATGTACCAGGCTCTGCTGATTTCCCATGGGAGACGTTGCTTTGGAGGAGGTGGGAATAGGGGGGTGCGTTGGGGGAAGGCTGGGGCTGAGAGGAGGGAGGACAGAGGAATCTGTGGTTGGTATGTAAAATGAATAGAAAATCTAATTAAATAAAATTAATAAAAAACAATCACTCAAAAAAAAAAAAAAAAAAAAAGGAGAGAGAAAGCACAGGATAGACTTGGGGGGGCCTGGATCCTTATCCACCAGCCCAGAACTTTATTCCAAAGGTCTATTTATAACAATGCCAAGGGGTGGAGCAAAAGACCTCCCCCTTGCTAGTTAGACCCTTACAAATACCAGGTACCCAGGCCTGTGGTCCAATCAACCTCCCATGCAGTCCTGCTGGGTACAGCCGTGCCGCTAGGAAACCCAGTGGGCTCCAACACTAAGACACTTCCAAAACAGGCCTGTAAAGCCCTTGCTTTACTTTCTTGGGTGTCCTCAATCTCACTTTCATGAGTTGCCTTTTCTCTGACAGGTATTCCTAATGAAGTGTCACTGTCCTCTGGGGACTTTGGTCCACCTCATGATTTTCAGTCTATCAATTTTAAGTGACTAATTCATGCACTTTCATTTTCCTTTTATGGACAGTCTTTCCTCTCTTTCTCTTTCCATATATTTTCACCTATTTGCTAAGATTCAATTCAAATATTTCCTGTTTCATAAAGTATTTTTTTTTATTATAGACACCTGAGTTCCCTCTTATGCCATATCATTTAGCAATTATTTGATGCTAAGCTATAGGGCTTATATTATGATATTCTTTAAAAACACTTTTTATCAATGTAAGGCTCAAATACCATACAATTCACCCTTTTAGGTTTTTTTTTTAAAATTAATTCACAGGGTTGAGGAAACATCAATTAGCATCCACTCATGATTTTTGTCTACTTCCAGTCTCAGGAAACCGTTCTGGCCATGTCATGTAAATGGAATCAAACAGCATATAACTGGTTTCTTGCTCCTTAACATGTTGTCTTTTAAGTTTCTGAAGAGTGCATTCTTTTAGCAGATGAGTAATTTTTCATGTGGATATGCCATAATTTTTCCTGTTCATTCATTAGTTGATAGATGTTTGAGTTGTTTCCAATTTTTAGTTATTTTGTCTGTGGATAATTGTACTCGTTTGTGTGTTCATGTTTCTATCGTGCTTGGGCATCTATCTGTTTGGTAGTGAACTTCCTGGGTCATATGGAACTTTACATTTAACATTTTTAATAATTGGAAAATAATTTTCAAAGAGATTACATTAATTTGTTTTTAATAAGTATTTTTTGAGCGTTTTGATTCCTCAGCTCCTCACCAGCACTTGCTGCTTTCTTGCTGCTGGTAGTCAACCTGACGACTGTGAAGCTCTGTCTGTCATTGAGATTTTTATTCGCATTTTTATAGTGTATAGTGAACAGTTTATTTGCTTACTGATTATTTGTACAATTTGTTTGGAGAAATATATGCTCAAATTATTTACTAATTTTAAAAAATTAGGCTACTTGCCCTTTTATTATTAAATTTAAGCTTTCTCTGTGAATTCTGGAGATAGCATCTTTATCAGATTTAGGATCGTGTTTTCCCCTTATGTGGGTTGTATTTACACTTTTTTTTTTCATTTTGTTTTTGTTTTGTTTTTTCAAGACAGGGTTTCTCTGCATAGCTTTGGAGCCTTCCTGGAACCCACTCTGTAGCCCAGTCTGGCCTCCGAACTCACAGAGATCCGCCTGCCTCTGCCACCTGAGTGCTGGGATATAAGGCATGCACCACCACCACCCAGTTTGTATTTACACTTTTAAAAACTGTGTCCTTTAAGTCATAAAATTTTTAGGGCCTAGAGAGATAGCTCAACTGCAAAGAGTGCTTACCTGCTCTTGCAGTGGACTTGGCTTTGGTTCCTAGCGGCACATGGTAGCTCAAAGCCACTTGTATCTCTAGTTCCAGGGAATCTGACACCCCTTCCTCTGGCTTCTGCAGACTCCAGCACACATGTGGTACAAATAAACTCACAAAGGCTCACATAAGCACACAAATATAAAATAATTTAAAAAATATTTTAAAATCATAAAATTTTAAAATTTTGATGACATTCAGTTTTTTGTTGGTTGCTTATTATTTTGGTATCATATTTTAGAAACCAGTGTCTAGTTCAAGGTCATAAAATTTAAATCTGTATTTTTCTTCTAGATTTTTTTAATGGCTGCTCTTACATTTATGCTTCAGATGCATTTTGAGTTAGTTTTTAATACTGTGTGAGGTAAACTTTCAGTTTATTTATTTATATTTTTGTGTGTGCCATTATCACGCATCCCATGAGCATTTGTTGAAATGATTATTCCTTTCTCATTGAGTTTTCTTGGAGTCCAACTTATTATCTTTGAACACATTTTTTTTATTAAGAAATTTTCTACTTACCCTACATACCACCCATAGATCTCACCTCCTCCCTCCTCCCACACTCCAGCCCTCCCTCCCAAGCCACTCCCCATACCCACATCCTCCAAATCAAGGTCTCCCATGGGGAGTCAGCAGAGCCCTGCACACCAAGCCCAGGCAGGTCCAAGCCCCTCACTGCTGCACCAAAGCTGTGCAAGGTGCCAGACTACAGGCACTGGGCTCCCAAAAGCCTGCCCATGCACCAGGAATGGATCCCAATCCCCCTGCCTGGGTGTCTCTTAAACAGTTCGAGCTAAACAACTGTCTCCTGTATCCAGAGGGCCTAGTCCAGTCCCATGGGGGCTCCACAGCCACTAGTCTACAGTTCATGGGTCTCCACCAGTGAACACATTTTTATCTTCAACCTTTTGAAATTAAGGCCGTTGTCTTATTTTTAATTATACCTTTCTTTTTTTTTTTTTTTTTTTTTTGGTTTTTCGAGACAGGGTTTCTCTGCGTAGCTTTGCGCCTTTCCTGGAGCTCACTTGGTAGCCCAGGCTGGCCTCGAACTCACAGAGATCCGCCTGGCTCTGCCTCCCGAGTGCTGGGATTAAAGGCGTGCGCCACCACCGCCCGGCTAATTATACCTTTCTTAACAGTATGTCTTATCATATGTTGTGGTTTGGATCTTAAATACCCTCTAAATGTCTACTGCTAAGCCTTGACGTGCCCTTGAAGGGTCACTGGGACCCAGGCCTTTTTCAGCTTTCTTTTTGCTTCCCAGCTGTCACAAGGTGAGCAGGTTTGTGACACCACGTGCCTCCTTCCTTGACATTCTGCCTCATTGCTGGTCCCCAAACAGTGGAGCCAAGCAACCTCTCCACTGATGGGTGTTTAGTCAGTGGGTGTAACTGGCTTTTTCTGTTTGTTTATTTTGTTTTTTTTACATCCCAATCAAAGGTTCCCTTTCTTTCCTCCCCTCCCCTGCGAATGTCCCGTCCACTCCTCCACCACTGTCTCAGATACAGGCAGGGCTCCCATTGATATCAGCCAGCCATGGTATATCAAGCAACTGACTTATTTTTTTTTTAAGATTATATTCTTTATGGTTACAAAATTGTATTTTTTTTTACAAAAATAAAAATTGAGAGAAAAAGTAACTTAAAGTTAGAGAAATATGTTCTGCTTTGATAAACATGTCTGCCATTGGGGACTGTTATCAGATTCTACATTGACAGAAGGTTCTTGAGGGGAGATCAGCAAGAATTTTCATTCTTTTTAAATAGGCATTAAAGTTATCCCATTAAGAGAAATGAGAATTTTGTAAAGTATTTGAGAACCTAATAATGGATAAAGTAAATTCCTTAAGGAAATGATGAGTTTCAGCGAGGAAAATATTTAGAAATTAAATGCCACTTTTTACAGATTTTTCAGCTTGTTACTCTACTCACCCTCTCACCTCCCCACCATACTCCAGCCACTGCCATGATAATATTTAATTTAGGCAGGGGCACCTTCCGTATGTTGGATGTGGAGAATCATGCTGTTGCTTGCAAGAATGAGCAGTAATTAGTAATGACCTACTGGATGAATAATTTCCTTGGAACATGTGTGAGGTATGTAGGAATAGCCCAATATGCCTGATGTGTCTCTATTCAAACACAGGTTGGTGTTATATAAATATGAACTGAGGCTGCAGGAGCATCCTGTTGTTTGATGTTATGAAGAATAAGGAAACACCCAAGGTGGAGTTAACCATTGCAGTCATGAACACACAGTTTTATTCATCTAGAGCTTGTTTTGAAGACTTCATGAGGGGAAAAGTTCTACTTCCATTTTATTTGTAATTACAGGAAATACCTCCCACCAGTAACTTCTAATGAAATGGAAAAATTCCAGGGAGTGTAACTTAAGTTGTCCGTATACCCATCATGCCTCAAAGCAGACTGATTATGGTATCTGACTGATAGGTTATGGTGAGATCTTCTTAGGCTAACAGTGTTCCTAGGTCAGGTGCTAGCCTCCCTACACATGAACAGGAGTGGAAAATTATGGTGACCTGAGATTTGACATCTTAACTATATTGTTTCCAAGCTTGATCTTTCTGAGACCATTTATAGTGCTTAGTATCTGCATCTTATAGCTTACTAGCTAATTGCTAATTAATGTCTTGACTAGTTTTCTGAATGATGTAAGTTTTTAGGTGTTTTTATTCACAGGGTATCAAATCCAATTCTGACTCTTCTGTGACTCAACACATTGCTCATAGACTATGCTCTTGATACAGCTTATGCAGACATTGGATATATATAATTTGGTCATTTCAAATATCACCAGGATTTGAAGAGCTAGGTCTGAGTCAAGTCCCCACAACCCTTAGGTATGATGGTTATAGGATGCTTTGGCTTGCTTCCTGCTTTCAGTTTAATTGAAAATAGTAATATGGATTCTTTCATGGTCGTGAAAGATCAAATGAAACCATTTCATAAACTACTCTGCCCTCTGGAAAGCATCCTGTAAGTACGAGTGTTGCTTATGATTTGAGATTTGGGTACCCATTGTGTCCCACCATCCTTTCTTCTTTTGACTAAAGAATACAAGGAAGAAAACAATGTGACCAGAAGCCCAGAAACAGGAGTTGGGCAAAGTTAAGTCAAAGAGACTTGCTTATGTGTAAGCTCTGCTGTTTATACAGAGATAGGGTTAGTTAATGTCTTTCACAGCTTTCCAAATGGGATACAGAAGCTGGAAGAACATGCTACAGGCTCTGTTACCCTGAAAAAATAGCTGTCTCATTTCCTTTCATTATTATTTCTATTTTCCTTAAAACAATAATGCAAAAAGGACTACACTAAGAGTGCAGGTAGGGAAGGAGTCCGAGAGTTCAGAGACGGATGGAACAGTAATGTGTCTTTTCCCTCAGCTGCAGCTGCTGATGGAAGAAATGGGGAAAAGCACTAATACTACTAAAATGCCCACCCAAGAAAAAGGTGAATGAGAATTGGGTTCTGCAGCATTTCTGCCGGTGTAAGATTCCCAAGCAAAGGACAACACAATCTGCTATAATTGCTATGTTCTCCAAATGTGAAGAAGAGCTAGATGTGGCTTCTCTATGCAAAGATAAGCTGTGGAAACATGGAGAATAGATGTGGAAGATCGCAAGAAATGGGGGTAACTGTGTGTCTTGGAAGCTCTCTAAATAATAATGCTTATAAAAGAATTTAAGGAGAGATCTCATTTTCCACTGGCAAGGATTCCTGTTCCTGGGGAGGTTCTGGAAAGTTTATTTCTGTTTCTTCTTCTTCTTCTTCTTGCACTGGAATAATTTCAATTTCTTCTTCATTCTTTGGTTGGGAAGATACTCCACTTAACTCAATGATTTCTTCTTTCATTTTAATCGTCTGTTCTTTTTTCTCTCCAGCTGACAGCAGAACCACATTCTAGAATATAAACAAATGCCTCTTGACCTTTACCCTTGACACGCCTCCCAACAATGTAAATCTATCCAAATGCCAACTTATTCTCATGTTCTTTATTTAATTAACCAAATACTATAGATACCAGGATTGACTACTTGGATGTGCAAATTCTTATCAAATCACCTACTTACTAATCTCGAGTATGAGTTAATTGTTCAGGACTTCAGGCATTTGCCATTTTGCCTGGAACAATCATACCACATGGACATATAACACACCAAAAATAGAGGAGTTGGATTCTAGAATTGATTTGCCTTTAGTGATCATAACCTTGGGAAGATGCTATCATTCTACTCTGTCCCCATCTGTATAGTCAAGGAATCAGTAATGGCTTCTAAGCTATAAACTAAATCTTACAGTCTGTAGTTTTGATGGAGTTTATACAAGAGCTACTATTGGAGCATTGATATTTCCTAGCTTTGGAGTCTCTTTGAAATCCTATTGTTTTGGAAATGGAATGAAGTGAAGAGAGTGGGAGGAGAGGGGAACACTGAAAAGTCCAAGAGCCAGTGGCTTTATCCGCCTCCAGCCTTCAACATCCTGTGTTGCATTAAGATGGGAGGGGGCATGTAATCCAGGCATGTGTGAGTAAGAATGGCTCTCATGGGCTCAAAAATTTGAATACTTGTTCTGCAGTTGGTAGAACCATGGGGATGATTAGGAAATGTGGCCTTGTGGGAGGAGATGTGTCACTGGGGTTGGGCTTTGAGTTTTCAAAAGCCAGAGTCATACCAGTTAGCTCTGTTTGCCTCATGCTTATGGATCAGTAACTGAGGGCTTACATCTGATCCTGCCTGAAGGCTGCCATACTCCTCCCCATGAAGGTCATGGACTCTAACTAATATGCAGGAACTATAAGACCCCAAATAAATGCTTTCTTTTATAAGTTGCCTTGCCATGCTGTCTTATCACTGCCATAGAACAGTAACTAAGACAGGGTGGGAGTGGGAGTCTGAAGTCAAGTAGAAGAAGCTGATTGACAGGCACACTTGTACACACGTGGAACTGTAGCTTCTGTCTAACCATAGACTCATTTACACTTCAAAACATTTGCTGTTACTGTTGGTATTTTCTGTTTCCCAAAATATAGCAGAACCAGTTTATTCCAGTGAAGCCCTTACTTTCAACATTTTGTCAGATTACATTCTATGTAAATAATTCTTTGTAGATATTAATTTTCTAGAAGGGTGTTATGGACAAGTAGCTACAACTTACAGATTTGGGTCTGGAGCACATTCTTTTCCACTCATTTTCCACAATGCCAGCTGTTACAAGTTTCTGGAAGAAGGCGAAGATCAGCATCACTGATAAAATGCCCTGGAAACCAACAGAATGGAGGCAAAGATGAGATGATGGCAGATGGATGTGTTTAGCGTACAGTGGTGACTAATGACTGGAACTCAATGAGCAAAAAATCAGCTCAGTTCTTAGGGTGAGTAAACTGAACAGCTGGGGCGAGGTGTGTAGGGGGGGGATGGCTGCTATAAAAGGCAGCATCTTTACAACCCAAATGCTGAGCATAGCATCAGGCGCAAGAAAGTAAGGTAGGAATAGTAAACTGGAGGATCAATTCTTTGTAAGAAAGAGTCCCACATTCAATTCTGTCAGTTTGGTCTGGTACTTGCCCAGCATACTTGACACCCTGGGTTCTAGTCCCACTGTGTAAACTAGGTATGGTAGCACGTGCCTGCAATCCCAGCACTAGGGAAGGCAGAGACAAGATGATCAGAAGTTCAAGGTTGTTTTTGACTATGCAGCAAAGTGAAGGCCAGCCTGGATTATGAAAATGTATCAGCTTTAGAGGATGTAACATCACACCAAGGAAACTCCATAACACTTGGGAGATGTATTGCCTTTCCCCTTTAAACTCTGTATTTAAAATTCTATGAGGGAAAACATGTTAATAACAGTGTAGGAATTTCTTCCATTTTTATTAATAATAATACTTATTGATAATAAGTATTAATGTCATCAATGATATTAACAATGATGAATGATGAACACATAAAGCTTGGTGCGGTGGCACATACCAGTAATCCCAGAATTCAGGAGGTAGAGGCAGGATTGTTGTGAATTTGAAGCTAGTCTGGGCTAAATAGTCAGTAGCAGACCAGCCAGGGCTACACAGCAAGACCATTTCTCAGAAGAAATAATAAAGTCACAGGTAGAATCTTCCATACCAATGATTTTAAGTGCCTTGCTTATGTTAACTAATTTGTTTCTCAAGTCAATCCAAGGAGATACACAGTTTTATAGCTGAGGAAATAGAAGCAGTATATGAGGAGGTTTCCTGCCCAAAGCCACATACAGAAAAAATAGCAGACACAGACTACCTGGACCCAGAGTTGATATTCGTAATAAAACATAGCACTTTTCTTCTCTGGTGGAGCACCGTTTTCATACTTACCAAAAACACAGACTGCATGCTGTAACAGTACCGTGTAGATGGAGAGTTTTTCTCTGAGGAATTAGATGGTTCACAGTTGTAGATATCAACATACAGGTTGGGAGTTTTACTAAGATCCAGACGCTCCATTTTTAAAAAATGAGAAACGGTAATGTTCAGTATGTCCATAATTGAGAGAATTATTCCAGAAATGGCAGCAAAGAGGCTCAGGGAGCTCATTATCACTTTGGCTTTGACCTGAAACAGAGGCAGCCTTGTTAATTAGATTTGATTTCTATTCAGAAAACATAGAGTAGCATGTGGGATTCCAGTTGCTATCTCCCTGACTCAAAGATGCCACACTTGAATTCTAGTTCAGTTCTCGCTATGGGTGTTAGCCTCGTTGTCACTGTGAAGTACAACTTTTAGCCTCCTTCTCCCTCCTTCTCCAGTCTTCTCATCTTATACAATCACCATTCACCCAATTTATGAAACCGAAATTCCAGTGATTCCTTACCCACATGTTGTATCCCTGAACGTTTTCATTGGCACCATCCTCCCAGACATACAGTAAGGATTTAATGAGCATCCAGATTATCATCTCTTTGCATATTAAGGCAATGGGCAGAGGGATAAGAAGCATTTTACATCATGACTAAAGATCATTGCTGTAGATATAGATAGAACCTTCTAGGTTTGTACCATCCAATAAAAAAGGCATCAGCCATAATAATGCTACCACTCCCTGCTGACAAGGTCACTCCCAGTCAGCTGTCTTCCCCCAGTACCATTAGGGCAGATGTCTCTTGATACACAGGTTAGAGGATATGGCTGTGACTGCTCTGTCCTACATGGGTGATAAAAGCTTGGCATATCATATGCCAAGTACCACAATGGTATGGCATTTTGATGATTGTTTCATGAAACACAAGGCTGGCCTTGAACTCACAGAGATCCACTTGGCTCTGCCTCCTGAGTGCTGGGATTAAAGGCGTGTGCCACCACTGCTCCGTCTTACCTTGATTTCTTATGCTAGAATTACAACTTCTGTTCACAGGGTGAAAAATCAGGAGCACCCTGTACTCACTCACTCAGGGTTCTGACTTAGCTAGAACATGACTCAAGCACTTGATCAGAAAAATGTCCTAACTAGTGTGTGAGGAAAATGACATTCTTTCAGAATACATCAGTTCTGTCATCTCCACAGGGAACTTAGCATTAAAAGACTGTAAGTGCCATCTTCTGGGCTCGTCCTTTGATTCCCTTGCTATGGACAGACTAAAGGCAGATGCCATTTTTCAGTTTTTCATGAAGAACGTCATATCACAACCAGGATGATACAGGATCTTTGCTCAGAGAGAGTCAGTGATTGCTAAACTCTTTAAGGGTCCCTAGGATTTGTTTTCAACTGAGAAAGTCATTATTGTGTCTGATGTGTGGGAAAAGACATGATTACTTGCCAAACTCTTCCTGGAGGTTTGCTCTGCTGATGCTGCCAGGAGTGATCCCGAAATAATATACTGCAAAGAGAGGGGTGAGTGGGAAGGGAGAGGGAGGAGGAGGAAAAGGGGGCAGAAGGGGAGAGGCAGAGAAGGGTCACTGCTTTCCACTGATGATTGGTTGGGAAGGAACCACCTACATTTTTAGAGTCTTTCATTAAACTATGCATCAAATTTTATCCCATTAAATTATTTCTAGGTAGCTATATTTCTTTGTTATTAAGGTTCATATACTCAGTCTGTACTGTTCAACCTTTGGATACCATTAGGAATAGAATAAGAAAAAAGAGACAGAATTCATACTTCTGTGTCAGTGAGAATCCTCTGGGCCCATACCATCAAATAGAAAAAATAAGAAATCATCCTCAATAACATGACTTACTCCTTCTCTACACAGGCTGCAAGTAGACTAAGTCACTAGTTTTAAAAACACAATTAAGACTGGGGTCTCAGAGGAATAGGTAGGAGAGAATGTCAGTGTGAATTAAAACACTTACTCTAATTCTATTTCTTTTTGAAAATAAAAAAATTAAATTTGTTTTATGTGTGGGTGTTGGGAATTGAACCCAGGCCCTCTGGAAGAGCAGTCAGTGTTCCTAACTGCAGAGCCATCTCTCCAGCCCATCTCTCTAATTGTAATTAATGAAAATGTTCTTTTGGGGTCATAGTGATTTAATGGCTCTGATGCCACTGAGAGATAGTGTACAAGGCAGTACTTATCTTGAATATAATACACTTCACAAAAATGTTGATTGCTATAGGAAGTAATAGTGATTATTTCTCAACTTCCTTTTTTAAGGGTCAAGCTATAAAGTGCAGAAAAGTCTTGCAACCAATCCGCCTAAGTTCTGAGAGCCTCAATTCTGCACTTAGAGTCATGAAAAGTGTCCTGGCAAAATAAGCACTACCTAGCCCCATGTCACACACAGAATTACAAGTTTGGGAAACATGTACATTAAGTAGCCCCAAAGAGTGTTGCTGCATTTGTAAGTACAGAGGGATTATTTGGGATGGGAATAATTTCATCAGATGCCATAGTAACTAACAAAATTGCAGGGAGATGGAGGACGAGGACTTAGGATGTCCCATTTTTCTTTTCCTTCCAAAACACCAAGTATCTGGTGTCTCTCACCCTGCTGGAGTTAGCTGTGGAGAGACCCTGCTTTGTACAGTCTTGCTTCTCTGAGCACAGCTGGCAGAGCTCCTTTCTGTGAATCCACATGAAGCATGACCACGATCAGCCACAGGAGTCACGTGGTGTAGTCTATCCTTCTTCTCACTTAGCTATGTCAACCCAGTAGCCTTCTTCCTGCCCAGATTACTTTCATCAGCACGGAAACAATCTAGATATTTTTTTGGCCTTTTTCCCCTCCAACATCTCACAAACGGTTGCTGTTTATTCTAACTTACCATAAGGCCTCCCCAGAGAGGGTACCATACACTCACAGAGATGGGTGCAAAGACCCCTGTGGGGATCAGCAGCAGCCCCCCAAGGGAAATATGGAAGAGGCCATTCATGATCTGGACAGCCTGGGGAAAGAAGAAAAGCACTGGTGGTGAATTGAACCCATCATTGGTGAAGGTCAAAGGCCAGGTGGGAAGCCTGAGACCCGATTGAGGACCACACAAAGATACTAAATGGAGTGGTAGCACTACCAAAAACTTTGCCTCCTTCTCATTCAGATTTATCTCTCCCACTACACAAGGCATTTCCAAGGAACAGATATGTCTGAAATTTGAACAATGGACCCAAATGGAAGATTCTTAACCAAGCCAAGAGATGATGTAAGATCACCCTACAGTGATCCAGGTGGTAACTCTTTTGTACCCTCTGGCCTAGCCCACTGTGTGAGACATAAAGAACACATCCACTCAGATCTGCCAGTGCAAGGTAGACTGAATTCCATGTATAGCTTGGAAGCATCAGCATCTGTAGGCCAGAGCATCTCCCGGGTGCAGAATAGAGGAGAACAGCCTTACCCCCAAAGCTTTTGATTCTCTCATGAAGAAGCTTTGTGTTGGGCCCACCAGTGAAGATGTCCTCCTGAGGTTTACTTTTTGAGAAGGCTGCATGGCAAGAGGGCCTTTGGTAGACTCTATTGGGAAAGTTCCACTCACTGAGTTTCTGGGTGTTGTCATTCTGTTCTCAAGCTCCTGAAAATAAAACAGTAAGGAAAGTCGATGACAAAGTCTTTGGCAATCTTACCTTCTGTCACCATCTAATACTTCTCTTAGTGTTCCCTTGGTGGTGCCACTGTGGCATGCCATCTTCCTAGTAGCTTCCGATGTGAGGCAAGGTCTACCACTGTGTTCTAGGAAAGTATCTGGAGGGGCTATCTCAGGCAAGGACTCATGGGACCAGGAATCTGAGCTGGAATTCCTGCTAATCATGTCTGGATACACATTAACATTTAAGAAAATACTAGGCAGTCAGTTCCTCTACCAATGACCCTAGGACACACTGTGAATTTATGTCCCCATAGATTTTTGTCTGTGCTGGGGCTTGGACCCAAAGCCTTATGAATGTTAAGAAAATATCACTGAACTTCATCCCTAATCTGTGCATTTGGCTCTCTGGCCCCTCCTTGGATACTCTTCTTACTATTTAATACTGCAAAACATACTTTTTAAAATTAATTAATTAATTAATTAATTTTTAAAATTACACTCATGATAATCACATTTGTGGTATTCATAGATTACATTCACAGTATTCATTCAAATATATATATATATATATATATATAATTTTAAATGTCAAATGTCATTTCTTGAAGGGGGTAGGAGGTCTTAATTATAGGCTTACAGAACAATGGGAGGACCCCGGAGGGCAGAAGTTCGCTACTGATGTTTTACAATCTTGCATTTAAGCTGTTAACGCCCATTAATCAGGATACCCAGACAAGGAACTTCCCTTAAGCATTCAGGAGGGTGGAGCCTGGCAGGGAATTAGCATAGGGAGGATATTAAGGTCAAGGTCCGCAAGCAAGGCAACAGTTACCCAAAACGGGGGCAAGGGCCCTGCAGGTCCCCCTTTTATTAAAAAATGAGAGCAAAGCATACTTTTTATTGGCTTGTTCATCTATTTGTCTCTGAATAGTGTGTTGGCCCAGCGGTGTCATGCCTGACTATGGTAAGGACTGTCCTTAAAATCAGGAGGGGATGATTCTAGGCCTCTCTCTCCCTTTGACTCTGACTTTGAACAGGTAACATCAAGAATGCTCTCTGTTTTCACATGTAAGACCACAGCTTCTGAATCTGACTGTCTGGTTTAAACAGTAATTCTAATTACTCTGAGGTGCTGGACAAGTTCTCTTGGCCTCAGGTTTTTCAGCTCTAGACTGGAAGCTTGTTGTAAGAGATAGATGGTGATGGTTCATGTTTGGGTGGCTTTTTTTCTTAAAAACCTGGGCATAGCTTAAATATCAGTTATTCCCAGAGGCCTTATCTAAACCTTCAAACTATCACACATGTTCTTACATATATTCTCTCTGGCTTAACACATCCTGTTCTATTCACCTCATTTCAATTATTACTGTGGTAAATTACTTGTTTTTTTGCAGTCCTCTCTCTATAGAAACAAATGATGTCGTTGCCTCTTGACCAGGATCTAAAAGAATGCTCACATGTTATAGCTTCTTAATAAACTTTGAAGGAATGCTAGATTTATGCAAAGCACATCTGAATAAATATTAGCTGCTTTGTTGCAATTCTTGTTGTATACTTTTGAGCTGTAGTTTCCATTTTATCTGTGAAGTGAGAATAGTACCCTTCTCATAGAATTATCTTAAGAAATGAGTGGACATATGTGCCTAGAGGAAGAGGGTAGCAAGTGTCTTCTGTCAGTGCTCATGAGTTGTTTCTGAAGTGACGATGAACCACATTCTTTCCAGTTCTGACAGGTTAAAGCCATTAAGCTTTCTTCACGTGCCATTTATTGCGGGTATTCACTGATTGGTCATGTCAAAACCACAGACATGAATTCCCTTGATATTTTCCTGTGCCCTGGATATTATTCTCTAGGGCTGCACCTCTGGTCTCTATTGATTGTAAGCTGTGTAACAGGCCTTGAGAATTAAGACTGTCTACTCGGGCTGCTGAGTCTTACACTAAAGTCAAGGAGAGCTGGGCAGCTGAATCTCTTAGACTTCTGCTGATTTTATAATTACAAGGAAATTCCATCGGGGACATCTCTTCTGAGCCCAGTAGAGGAGATAAGGGATGAATCATTGCCTGTGCTTTACAGAGTGTGTGTGTGGGAGGGGCAAGGACAGACAAGTTAGGCAACTCACTTGAAGTTATATAACTGCTAATGATCTGAAATGAAGCCTCCAGCTTGTCAACTGCAGTGTCCATGACTCTCTCACTGCTTTGACTCCTGTGGGAAACAGTTCATTTTCTCTTCCTTTCCCTTCAAAATATGCACACTCTTCATGACTTAAAGCAATAACAAAGCATGAGCTGTCTGCAGCGTGGGCTTTAGGGAAGAGTTTCTCACTTGATTGCCTTCCTGTTCTAAATTACCAGATGTCACTTGGCCCAGGGCAATCTGCTTCATGCCACAAACCATCCCACGAGACCACCAACCAAAATAAAAATTATTTACATAACCCGCCAAGGAATTTTCAAATGAATTCTGGTCTAGAAGTAGAAAAATCTCAGAAACCAGTTTGCTCTTGTCACAAATAAGGATCCTGCTCCTGGACATGGGGCATGCTTTTGCAAAATCCTTATACTTAGTAAGGAAGTCAAACTTGAAGACACTGACACCAATGCTCATTCTGTGGACCCTCAGGCTAGACTGTAGTTGTTTAATTAGGCATGTACTATGTCCCCAGGGATATTAGCTGTGCTATTTTCAGTTTTTTTCATACCTCTCTCTTTCAGTAGGCACTGTATTTCCTGTTGGTGGATGTATAGAAGACCCCATAAGTTAATTTTCCCAAGATCCTTTGGTAACTATGGAATGAGCTAGAATTCATTTAACTCCATTCTAGGGGACTAATTTTAGTGATGGTGACTTAAAGTGCAAGATCATTAATTATTCAGGGTGATGGAAATGATTGGACTACCATCATTATAATTCTTCTGTAGTTACCAACTGCTCATTAAGTCTTGGGTCTGTGTTGCTGCTGAGATAAACCTTTGATTTAGGCAAAGTCTCATGGAGCTATCTATATGGGCTATTGGCAATAATAATATGGAAAGAAGAACATTCTTTCTGTTAGAATAGTATCTTTCTTTTTTTTTTTTCTTTTTTTTTTCTTTTTTTTTTTTTGGTTTTTCGAGACAGGGTTTCTCTGTGTAGCTTTGCGCCTCTCCTGGGACTCACTTGGTAGTCCAGGCTGGCCTCGAACTCACAGAGATCCTCCTGGCTCTGCCTCCCGAGTGCTGGGATTAAAGGCGTGCGCCACCACCGCCCGGCTAGAATAGTATCTTTCTAATAACTGTATTTCTACAAAGTGTTAAATAAATATTACTGCAAAATAGTATTTTATAATACTATTTATAATATGACTTTGACATGCCATTTTATGCTCATGATCTCCTTCCCCTCCCTCCCTTTCTCTCACACACATGAGGACACTGTAGATTGACAGTGCAATAAAATTACATTCAATGGAAACTTGTGAAGCTAGAGCTAGTCCACATACTCCCACAAATGTAGATTTCTCCAACTTTGCCTTATCATTAAAACATTATATGAAATGGCCTCAGTGGACCCCAGCTCACAGCAAAGATTGTCTGGTAGATTATCAAGATTACTGACCACATTGGCCAAAATTGTAACGATACAGGGCTTTATTTTCACAAATATGAAAATAAATACTGATACTGAAATCCCAACTTAATTTGCTCACACACCATCCCATTTTACCATCACTGCAACTTCCACAAACCTTTGTGACTTCTAGAGCATCGCCATTTCCTTGTCCATCCCCCTGAAGATGTCACAACTTCTTCTGTGGTTTTGGTTTGAATAATGACTTTTAGGTTCAGTAACTCCATCATCTACTGAGATGCTTGAAGCCCCTCCAACCTCACCTTCCTCCTTTGCCACTAAAAATAGCCTTGCACTTATTCTTCCCTCCCTCTGCCCTGTGTTTGTGGCTGTAGGTGAATCTTCTTCCAATCTTTCCTCCTCAGCCCTTTCAGTCCATTTCCTATCACCAGATGCTTGCTCTTTCCAGAAATCTCTTCTTCCTGGGACCTACTCTCACTCTTTGTGTGGCATTATGCAATTCGTGATCTCTGTAAAATTAGGATTATATAAGACATGCTGTGATTGATAAAATAATACTCAAGGAATAATTATTATTCCCGAGCCTTATTTGAACAAAATTGTGGTACCTTGTTCCCCAGTCCCTAAACTCCCATTTAAAAATTCTGGTAAAGTCCCCAGTTACGTCCTCATTTCCCCTTTCTTCACTTCAGCTTCTTCAAATTTTGCCTCCTACCCTTCCCCAACTTCCTCCTCACTCACACAATTCTTAAACTAGTTTCTGTCACTTACCCGAAACTTCTCTACACAAAGGTTGTGCTGCAGTCTGTGGCCTTTTCTGGGCACAGTGCCTTGGGTCACTTTATTTTGCCAATTGCCCAGACTTCAAAGGTCTAAACCAGGGGGCTTGTGAGATGGCTTAGGTCATGCATCACAAGTGTGAGGTCCTGAGTATGGATTTCAGCATCCACATAAAATGCTAGCTGTGGTAGCATGCACTTGTAACTCCAGTGTTGGGCAAGTGTAGACAGTCAGATCCCTGGAGCTTGCTGGCCAGCCAGTCTAGCCAAAATTTTAAATTTCAGATTGGGTGAGAGACCCTGTCTTGTGACTGAAGAAGGCATCTAATGTTAACCTCCATCCTCCACATGTGTGTGCATGGATGTGCACTGACACATACAGGCTTGGAGGCAGATTTTACTCCTGCTTCTTTAGCTCCCTCACATATTCAGGCAATAGCAAAAGCATGCCATTTCTACATCTGCAATACCTCATACACATGGACCTTTTCCTTACATCTAGTATCACCTGTAGATTTATTCCCATTTCCTTTCCTGGTATAGCATAAGAAAAAAAAATCTTGTGATGAGGCCAGCTTATTGCCAAGGCTGATGACCTATGTTCCATCCCCAGGACTCACATGGTAGGAGGGGAGAACTGACTCCTGCAGGTTGTCCTCTGACTTCCACATATGTGTGCATGCGCATGCGCGCGCGCGCACACACACACACACACACACACACACACACACACATTAATGTCAGAAATGTTAGAAATATTATGGTTATTGTTTTCCTTCGATAATTTTTCTAATACACCCTTTACAAAGCAACTGAGACACATCCCCTAAATCACTGCTAAGTTGTGCTCTTCCTGGGCCTCAGCTCTCCCCAACCTATCTCACTACCTTTAACTCACTTTCTTTGCTTTCTTGATACATCCTTCTGACTCCTCATTACAGTCCAGCTCTGATGACTTTCAGAACCCATGTCCTCAGTAGTCATAATTGGATATGTCTCCTGCCTTCTTTGTTGAATCTGCAAAAACTCCCCCGCCCCCCCAATTCTGTCAACCTCCACAAAAGGATGTTCATGAGGCCATTCCTTGCCTGATGGTAAGAACTTCTTCCAAGTCCACAGTCACTCATGTTTATTACTTTCCCACCAACCACTTTCATTTTAGTATGATATGTAACTTCTGAAACAGTGTTAATCCACTAAGGGAGCTGTGCAGGATTATACAGGGAACCTGCCTCCTGTGATGCTGTGATCTCACTCAGAGTTAAACAGATCATCAAGCTCAGCTTCCTCCTCTGGAAGGTTTACAGATAAATACTCAGGATGCTATCTATTCACAAGATGATAACCTCCCTTCACCTGACCATCGATGAGACCAAACCATTATAAGGGAAACAGGGACAGTCTCTCTCTCTCTCTCTCTCTCTCTCTCTCTCTCTCTCTCTCTCTCTCTC